AATCGCTTTATGGCATCAACTGTCTGACGGCCTTCCCGGAAAGCATATTGTTCATCAGACAGTCCTAAGCAGGTCATTCTGGAGCCTTGCTAGTAATAGGTGTTCATTGTGCTTATTTTCTACATCTAATAGACATATCGGTCTATACGACGCAGGGTTATCAATTGGCTTGTCCTTCTTTCTGATTATTACAAGTTTAGCTCTCTTCCATTTGGCTGGGAATTTCGCTTTGTTTGCCAGTTCATTATACACTTTCGCTTCATACTCTGGTCTATAACTACTTGTGAGATTTTTTCTGGTGGAATGTTTTAAGGGCACGGCTCCTTATTATTCTTCAGTTCAGCGCCTGCAGTTTCCAATTCTGCAAGGGCAAAATTTTAAAATCAAGTTATATTATCACAGGCAAATATCATAGGTGAGTGGGCAGGAAAAAGGTGATCCGTCACTACCTCCATCTTTGGCATAGTCAGTTTATGTCGAGGTGGATACTCGATGATTCTTCTCATAACTACCTCATTTTCGTCTCCATAGATGTCATCTTCAATGTTTTCACACAGTATCTTCCAGCTGGTTCTCTCAGCTTTCTCAAAGACATTTCTCCTTCTTCTCTTACCCTCCTTGTATTCCTTCCAAAATTGGTGGTTTTCGGGTGGCTGGTTTCTCCTAGCATTTCTAGTGAACACTCTCCTTACGTAGTTTCGCAATCTTTTCATTCCACCAGTATACTGGTGTTCCCGTCTCAACGTATTTCCTTTTTGGCATCGATTCATTACAGATTTTTACTAGCTTGTTCGAAATGGTTGTGACAGATTCAATGTCATCCTCCTCCCTCATTTCTTGTAAGGCTCGTTGCAAATTTTTCCTTGTCAAGCTTTCTAGTTTGCCAAGCTCTGGCTTTCTCTCCACCTTCTCTTACATCTTTTTCCTCGAATATATCGAAGAGTATCTAGTTATGGTCACTCAACGATTCCATCTCTCACATGCCACCGGGAAATATTTGTCTAGACGTTGTTTGTCGCTATCGTTGAGTCAGGTATTAACGAATAGTTCTGCCTCTCAAAAGTAGGTTTATCCCTTGGTTCATCATGGAATAATGATTTGCAGCTATGCATTTGGTTGAAATTTTACTCCTTCTATCTGCTACAAACATGCCCCATTGTGGTGATTTTGATTTGGGAAAAATTTTAATTGATAGTATGATCAACGTCAATGAGGAATGACTGTCATAGGTAGTGATATAGCGGATATACCTGGATTCGCAATCATTGTCATGACCTTATGGAAATCAAAATCCCAGGTCTTGTGTAGCATTATAATTCAGGAGGCTGGGACGGTCTACGCATGTTTCTCTTGGCGCAGAATATGCTTTGGAAATCCTTTACAGTGTGCTGCGGAAATATCACTTTCGGAACGGACACCAATATACCTCATTCTGTCAAGAAGTCATCACCTTCAAAACCCTTGTTCAACAGAAACTGGCTGTTTCCTTGAAACGAGCAGCCTACCATCGCCGGCGCGAAAACCCTAACCTCGCGACTAGAGCAGACTGAAAAGAAGCATACCTGGGAAAATATGTTTGCAGAGATGTTTGCAGCAGACCCCACATCAGTTTCATAAGAAAAAGTGCCACCAGATATTTCAGAAAGCCATCAACATTGAGTGCATCAAATATCTGGAAGAATCTCTAGCTGTGGGGTTAGACATAACGGAAGCTTTCGGTGTTTGGCACCAAGGAACCTTTCACAAACTACCATCATACGGCTAACCACCTCAGCTATGCCATCTCTCATCAAGTTTTTTTTTTCAGGCACGTGGTGGTGGACGGTGTATGGTCGGATACCATTGCCATCAATTCCATCGTTCTACAAGGATCAATGTCGACACCAACATTGTTTCTACTTCGTATCGATGATCTGCTATGCAGATGATAGTACTCTATATACTGCGTTCTCCTTCATGATTTCCATTTTTCACCAGGAAACCTCGAATCAACTGCGGAAGCAGATCAACGTTGTTAATAAAGATCTTGCTAAAATCACTGGATAGAAAACAACAACCTAGAATCCAACGCCACCAAAACTCGAGCCGGTATTTCATCTTGAAAGCGGAACTAAGTATGCCTGATTTCACCATTTCCACCAGGCTCGCTATATCTCTGATCGGTATCTTTATCAGCAATACTCTTCCATGGGAGGAACTTGTCGGATCCATCGCAAAAGCTGCTTCACGAAAACTCAGATTTTTGTTTCGTGCGAGAAGCTACTTCACACCACAACAACTTCTCTCATGATCTTCAAAGCACAAATACGGCTTGTTCTGATATACTGTTCACACATATGGGGTTCAGCACCCACACATACGCTGATGCTCTTAGAATCCATCCAGAGAAGGGCCATTCGCTTGGTGAGTAATGCCATAATCACTAACTCTCTGACATAATTGAATCAGATATTTCACTACTGGTCCTGGACCTGTTTTAATGTTGACAGAAAGCTTGAGTTGAAAGTTAGATCTAGCACCTGTTGTCTATTTGAAGTCAAAAAGGTCGATTAGAAACCTTTGTTGATTACCTGTATATTTCATCTGTGTGCTGCTTCACGATGTATGGTATGAATTGACGTCACAACCTTTATATGATTAGTTGAAATTTGTTTCTTCTGCTGTAGTCTATTATTATGGAGAAAAAAATTTTATTCATCACTCGGTTGTTTCCTCACTAGCAACCCTCAAATGTCTTCAAGAGACTTGTGCGAGCAAGAAATGACAGGGGTCTCACTTTTCAACGTGTGATCCCAAACACTTTCTCATACCATCAGAAAAATTTCAACGGTCGTGGTGAGAATCGAACCCACCTACCGGCAATCCAACGTGGACAGGATACTGACGCTCCAACCACGAGGCTGCGCTGGCCACAATCAATCAGCGTACAGCAAGATTCATGTCTACAAGAAAGTAGGCAGAGATTATGTACGTCAAGACCCTCTTCTTCGGTAAGTACACTTGGATGGCTACCACATCTAGAATGCAGAAGCCTGCAAGCAAACTACATTCGATATTTTTTCAGATGATTATACTAGCTCTGGCTTCCACCCCAGGGCACACTCTCACCTCGCCAGGATTCCTGTAGGAAGGCAAGGTCGAATGATTTCTCCTTGAACCTTTTGCCAAGGACGTATGGAGCGGCCTTGACGTGTTGCAAGTTTTCCTATAGAAACTTAAATGTGACGATATAATGTGCCACTGGCAAACTTGTTGCTTCTTACCCCTCCGAGGTGAGATCAGATGATGAGTCATTAAAAACGCCACCATCTGCGTCCTCAGTGGCCAAACTTCGGATTGGCTTGGTTGACGAGAATTTGACACCCTTGATGTAACCTCAAAATTTCCCCGAAGGTCCAAGGTCTTCGGCTAGCGTTTCAGAGGAGATGGAAGAGTTTGGTATATGCACGCCAGATAAATCAATTCAGACTACTTAAAAGAACCAAGTAGTATATCAATGCTAAGGTGTCATATGGGCCAATAAAAATGGAAAGAACATAGGAGACAGTTCATCCAAAATTCCCCATTTGATGAAATGTAGCAAATTACAACCAGAATTCCAAATTCGCTCTGGTATACCCCTTGATCGAACATATATAGATTTCGAAAGCAGTTCAACTCCATCAAGCAAAAAACTAATTAGTATAAAGGAAATACGATACACTTTCAACTACAATCCATTATCACTCTGTGACTAGGTTTATTTTGAATTTGATCAGCGTACATACATTACGATTCCACGAAGCGTTCAGGGAAACAACTCCATATATGATGGACGCGGGGTATAAATGCGTTGCTTCAGCTCAGGAGCATGCGCTGGTAACCATAATCTCTGATGGTGATAAATGGTAGCAATTATCGATACACAGAGGATATATAATAAATTTTCAGTTCGATAGTTATGAATGATCAAGTGATAGGGGTCAGTAGAATGGCAAGGACAAAATTAATTGAAAAAAAGAGTTCAACATCACCAATATTCCTCAATGGATGTGGGCAGAGGACCAACCTGTATTATCCTTGATTGGGCCACTCTGTATAGGCTTCAAGTGGGACACCCTGTATAGTCTCCAAGTGATCCACCCGGTATAGAATTCATATGAGAACTTGGTTTGGTCCCCTGGTATAGCCCTGTGGTCGAAAAATCCAGGAAAATCTTGGTCGATTTCTCATCGCTAGGGAGGCTAGGAAGTGGAGGTGGATGCTAGAATTTTTTTGAACTCTGGGAGATTTCATGTGTTTGGGAATATTTCCTCAGGCAATGTATTCCTGTCCCGTTTTAAAGAGGAACGAGTTTCGATATAGTGCTTCTCGACATATTTCGAGGTTGACAACGAAAGGATGTGCTGACTAACCTTGTCGAGTGCGTCTGGCTAGTATTGCTAGTCGTGGAATGATAGCAGAGATTTCTGAAGAACATTGCTATCAAACACCATGGGTTTTCCAAGATTTTTCAGTAGAAGTTGGATTCCAAACAATACTACTTGACGAGAGATCGAAGCATAGCCGTCAAGGCGCTGTAATCAGGACCTTCTTAGCTCGTCGATCTACCGGATATCTCAAAATCTCAGGTTATTATCGTGGTGACAAGACATTGAATTATCCAAGGAGATAGATTTAGGACGAACATACCAACACGAGTCGAATCACACAGACCATCACTTCTCAAATCAGTGAATGGTGGCTTCAGAATATGAAAATATGATCACAATGGAGAATGATTCCTAAAATTGAAAATCAAATGAAATTTTGAAGACGTCCTTTGCACAACCACCATTTTCAGAGCCAAGCGAGAGAGAAAAGACAGGAGATAAAAAACCGATCCAAATGTCATACCACGTCATATCACCTGACACAGAGTCCAGAATCCCAACATTTCTTGGAATTCTAGTACCATCTTGGGTCGGCAGAGGCCGCACCAATATTCACTCATGGAGCTGCCACCCTCGGATACTTTGCCATTACGACATCATGTTGGTGTCTCTGGGCAAAATTTCACACACCCCAGCAGGTATCTCCGGACTAGTCGTCTGATATCCACCATTGAGGTGAAGACGACACCTAATCGCGATCTGGGTTGAACACCCCTCCGACAAGTTCTGTCCAACAACGATTGATACCACTGACAACGAACAGCCGGCACGAGAACCTTTGATCATATCGCTCAATAGCTACCAGCTTAGTTAGCCAATCCATTTCCATACCCAACTCCACTTCGTTTAAGATAAACAATGAACAATAAATACTTCAACACTATGAATTGAAATACAGTTGTATTTCAATTCATAGTGATGAAGTATTTATTCATTTTCGGAGTGCCGAGTTCAGTTTCTTATTGCCAGGTTTTCCTCGACGAGATGTTGACAGTCTTCGTCGAAAACCCGATGATGATTTTGTGGCTTTCCGCTTGCTGACATTATGAGTCCGTGCCAGTCGTTGAATCTGGCTTGGCATAACAGTATTGTGGACACTTCTCATGTTTTAGGAGGAGGTTCCTCTTTCCTCACATTCACAGGAGGTGTCTTGCTCGTTCCCGGCTTTTGTGCTCTATCGTGTTCCTCAGAGGGTGCAGTGGCTCGGTGTGAGGTGACTTGAGTTTTGGGACGGAAATAAACCTACCCCAAACCGGAATTTGCTCAGCCATAGTTTCATTATCGACAGCAATGGTACATGTTTGATCCGGGTCTGTGGTTTCCTTTTGTAGACTAGTCTACTCCAACAGACCATTTTTTGTTTTCCTCGTTTTAGTGAATACCTGTTTTAGAGATTAGTTTGTGATCATCTTCGTCAGATGAATGAATTGATCGCCTGTGGAGTATTTCATCAGAGAGCCAGTTAGTCGAGAGGCGCTCTTATGATCATCCCAGGTGACAGGTGACCTGCAGCTATCCAGGCCATAATGTACAGCTATAGGATCGCACTTGTGGTGCATGATCTGAAATATCCTCTAGAGCAGCTAAAATGGCAAACTGAAGTGATTCCAGTTGTTCGGACAACGCCGGAGTTGCGGGATGTCCATGGTGCGAGATTCCCACCTTCACACCAGCAGCAGTTTTTCGATATGAGGGCTTTCGTGTGTCAGTCTCACCTGACACATCATCTGATTCAGCCGTGTAGGAATCATCACTAGAGCATTAGCGTTTACTCAATTCTGATTTGACAGAGAGTGGTTGTTCCATAACTTCATGCATGTTTGGCTGCTGATGATTTTAGTCAGATTCGTGAAATAACCCGCTCTCAAGGAGGCAACTGAGTCGCGTCCTAGCACCATCTAGTTTCGTAGGTTTGTCTTCAGAAGTTGGAGATCTGAGTAGCTCTTCATCCTGATATGAAGTTACAGGAAGGTAAGTTGGAGTCGACATATCCAAGTCCATATCTTCTGTAGACTCAAGGTCTGATTTTTTTCACTTGTTGTATCCATGAAAGGTCCTAAGAGAAGCTAGGGGAAATGAGTCTACACGGCGAAGCCCCGCATTACCGTTCGTGGTAAGGATGTTTACGACGAAAGGGTGCCTGATATCTCGAAGGTTCCGTTGATGATAGCTTATGAGTTCATTATCATTCTTTCCCTTGGCACATATACGCACACTTTAGGTTCAAGCTATCGTTGGGATGTCTTCAGTTGAAACAAGCTAACATACATGCAAAAAGCAGCAAACAGTAGTTCAAGCAGTGAAATAGAAATGAATGAGATGAGCCAAATTCGCCCTGTTATATAACATTTTCTGTTAATGGAATGAAAAAACTTATATTCGAACAGACTTGAAATATTGATGCGAATCGCATAGACGAACATAGGATAGTATTTTGTATGAGTCAGCGACGTTCATTCGATGATGTGGCTGCGTGAGGGACCTATAATACTGTTCCAAAAATATGTTCACTCAAGAAAGTCATCGACAATGAATCAACTTGGAATGGAACAAGGAATATCTCAATAATGTACCTTCCACTGAACATGAAACCTTCCAGAAACTCTTCAATTCTACTCTGTTTTGGACTGTTTGAAACTTTGCTTGAAACATAACCCAGATGTGTCCTCCAGGTTCCTCGTATATTTTTCAGGTGCAAGTACGTTTGAACGAAACCAAAATGTAACGTTTCAAGAAAAATGCACCCATGTTAGAATTTATAGAATTTATGTTCTGATGCTGCTACTACTGATGTTTCATGTTTCTTGTTGTGTTGCTTAAACCTACTCTACATTATATCACTTAAAAAAACCTAAATCAAAAAACAGCTGCTTTACATTCTTTCGCTGTTTTGGGGACAGTATATTTTGTTTCAGAGATATTAGTTGAGAGTGTTCATTAGGATATGTTGGGCTAGTATGGACTCGATTAGACTATTTGCGTTTTGTATTCCTCCCATTTGTGTGATGGGTTTTTGCCTTCTGTTTGTAAGTAAGGTTTGTTAATCTGTGATAAGTAGTACCTAATAGATTTGTCTCTGTTTCTACTGTATATGTATTCTCATTTTCATACCACAACCACTCTCTTTGAAGAGTTGATAACACAATAAAAATCGAAAACCTTTATGTAACATACAGTTTTGTTGAGACGTGTCTAGGACAGTTTTTTGAGACGTGTCTAGGACAGTTTTGTTGGAACGTTGTGTAAGACTTCCTTCAGTAAACAAGGATGCCTCTAGTTAAGTTCTTGATATTTTTCTCCACCTCACTGTGTTTGTGACAATGTCTTGTCATTTGTCTTGTCAATTCTGTAGTTTGAAGTGGGGATGAAAGTTCTTTTTCTCTCTTTTTGTGTTCGTCGTTTCTTGGGGTAGAAAATAAAAGATATGGTGTTATTGGCGTTTTTAGATTCATATAACATTTTATGTACCTAACTCAACTTATGTATAATACTTATGGAAACTCAACTTATTTATAACACTTATGGAAACCCAAATTATGAATAACACGTAGGGAAACCCAACTAATGTATTACACTTATGCAAACTAACCTTATGTTCAACACTTATGTTCTTAATCTTTTATTGTTGATGACTTATAAGCAAATATTACAATGTGTGAAGTTATTCAGGTATTATGTTGATCTAATCATTAATGTTTTTTGTACATGGATCGAGGAGGATCTATAGTCGGGTTGACCGAACTGTAAGACTTCCTTCGATAAGCAAGTATGCCATATCTAGTCAAGTTCTTGATATTTTGTTCAATGTCACTGTGTTTGTGGCAAAATGTTGTCATTTGTCATGTCAATTCTGTCAAGTTCGAAGTGGGGATGACAGTCTTCTTTCTCTCTCTCTCTCTGTTCGTCGTTTTTTGCGGTAGAGAATGGGAGATATGGCGTTATTGGCGTTTTATTATTATAATGTTTATTCAATAGTGTGAAAAAAAAAGGAAAAATTCGAAAATATGGAATTTATTGGGATAAAAACGTGAAGTTCCACACTAGGATGTTCTTGAAACTTCAGAGAGACTCAAGTGGAAAGGTTTCAGATACCCGTAAAACATATCTGCACAAAGCTTCATGAGAAGTAATTGTTCAATTTTGGTGACCTTCCCGTAATCACTTGATCGAATTACCAAATAATCTATTTGTTCGAGAAAGATTGAAAGGATTCATTATTGAATCAACAAACACGTCAAGTCTAACCAAACAAACGTAAAATTTCGGTGTTAAGGACGGGATATAAAAAGGAATCGTCCCGCTAAATGCGCCCTTCGTAAAACTCGAGGGTTACGATTTTTGCAAGGGTAGCTGAATGGGGGACGAATGTTTCATACCCACTCACTCTCCTACTTATATAGGGGTGGTTGATTAAAGATAGACAGCGTTGCACTTGCGAATAAGTAAATCCAGTTACCATGGGAGCACGGAATGTTCAACATGTTTTTCTTTTCATTTTAAATTGAGAATGAATCATCGAAAATGGAGGAGCGTCCTATATCAGTCTCAGAGTAGAGTAGAGTTTTATTGACTACTTGATGTACATTTATACATTTGTAGCAAGTCCTAAATGGTTCTATTTTGGTAAGAAGAATGTAAAAAATAATAATTTACATTGAAAGACAAAAAATATACGATCAAAGATGAATAATAAACAATCAAAAACAAAATACACATTCACGTTTCCCTCAAGAGTAGATGTTCGGCAAGTGTGTTCCTTCAAAATTGTGGCCACTAACGTGAGCCAGATATTCTGCAATCGAATAAAAGCAGTTTCTTCAAAATAAAAATTTCATAACCCTCTTGAGATAAAACATATTGACAGTTTTAATATTGGCAGGAAGAGCATTATATAATCTGAGATCATGAGAATTTTTTTGTGATTTGCTGGGTTTGTAACGTTGAGGTCTAATAAGATCACTGTTGCGTGTATTGTGATTATACAGGGTTATGATAAAGTAATGCACAAAATTCATAAAACGTACAACGGTCACTTTAAAAAAAAATGCAAAAACACGTCAAACTGCTCTTTTTATTCCGCATCTTTTGACATAAGTTACGAAAATAACACGTCGAAGTTGTCAAAGTAATGACGTCATCAACAAATTTTTTTAATGGGAAGCTAAGATTTTCATTACATTATGTAATAGAGCTTGTGTTATTACACAAGGGAAAAATAGTTGCAGTAGGGCTCACATAATGTAATAAAAATCTTAGCTTCCCATTAAAAAAATTTGTTGATGACGTCATAACTTTGGCAACCTTGACGTGTTATTTTTGTAACTTATGTCAGAAGATGCAGAATGGAAAAAACCGTTTGACGTGTTTTTGCATTTTTTCCAAAAGTGATCGTTGTACGTTTTATGAATTTCGTGCATTACTTTATCATAACCCTGTATAAGCTGGATTGCTTAGGAAGCAGGGGACCTCTTTTGTGAATCTCTACTATTCTCGTATGAATATACATTCAAGGTACTGACAATATTTTGTGATTTATGAATGAATCACGACACGAATCTCTGTAACCAATTCCAACAAGAATGCTCAGAGCCTTTTTTTGTAATATGAAAATACATTGGGCATCACTAGAATTTCCCCATAGTAGGATCCCATAAGAAATATGCGATTGAATTAGTGAGCAAAAAACCATTTCCAATGTAGTGAAATTAGTTATAGGTTCAAGTTTAGATAATTTACTTTTCAAACCCAA